AGAAAAGAGAAAGGAGAAAGAGAGAGAGAGAACGAAGCTATGAAACACAATATGAGTTCATTATCTTCCTCCACGCCCCATGCCTGACCTTGGCTTCAGTGTCCCAATACAAACTTATCTTGGAATTAAAAAGCAGCTCCGGGGAGTAAGCCAGGCGCAATTGAATTAGAATATGTTTTCCTGAAGTCTAGATAGAGTTCAAGGTATTATATCTAAAAGGTGAGAATTATTGTACATAATGTTCTGCCACTTAATGCATGCAGTTTATTCGTATGCATAAAAAGTCGCTGTAATATCTGCAGGCTGCTGAGCTCATCTTTTATTCACTGATTCCATTAAGAGATTGCTCAGGTGATATATGAACTGAAGCATTCTTTTGCGGTTATAACGACAGAGAAAAATAGCGAGATAACAGGAGGTTTTCAAAGCCTCTCTGAAAAGTGGGTGAGGCATCCATCATGTAAGGTGACACCACAAAAAAAAAAAAAGCTCTGTCAGCTCCTTTGAAACGCTGAATCTTTGTACTCTTGTGTTTTAGCAAATAAATGCACGCAGAGACAAAAAAGGAGACAAAATGCCTGATGATCCCGTGTGCTCCATCTAAGAATGAAAAATATTGGCTGCAGCATTAAGCAAAAGCTTCTCATCTGCGGCTGCATTCTCCTCAAAGGTTATAATAACGATCCACTGTAGCTGGGGGCACTGGAGTCATGCATCAAGGCAAATGTTTGCCTGTTCAAGTGGTTAGTCAATGACAAAGTGGAAAAAACTGGAGCTTAAGTGCACCAAAAGGCCCTGCTGTGTTGACAAACCTGGCGCTGTTGAAACATATCATTACTGAGGCGGGAAAGACACAAAAGTTTAGTGCAAAGAATCAGATGATTGTGAAGGACGAGACTGACATCTCCTTTACCAATGGGAAATGTTAGCAGGGCTTTTATAGCCTTTGAAGTCCAGGTTATTCCATTTTAAAGGTTTTAAATTACACTATCCTAAAAAGCTGGTAATAATTTACATGCTATTTCAGCAATAGTGAGGAATTCACTGGAGGGCAGTGTTCAGAGTTAATGACTTGTTCTGCGGCAGGAGGAGGCACACACACACACACACACACACCATGAAAGCCCCCCTCCTCTCTTCTCCAATAGCCCAACTCTAAATTCCTGCCATTGTTGTGTGAATGGGGAGATTTGGTATAATGCACAGACTGGCCAAAGACAAGGCAGCAGTAAGGACGCTGTAAAAAGATCACAGTAAAAATGTGCCATATCACATTTACACTGGAGTCATTCAGAAGAACGACCTTATCCATCAAAATGCTGGTCGCATATCTAAGCCACTTACACTTAATTCAACCAGCATCCCAGATGCTTGAATTACCCATTCAGGGTTTTTCCCTTAGGAAAAATCAAAGAAGCAGCAAATGAATACAATCTAATTTCCCTACAAGCTGGCTTTCCAAGCACTGAAACACATGCATGGACTCCTGCCATGGACTGAAGAAATGGCCCTGGATGCATGCCAAAGTGTTTTCCACAGCAATCAATACTGGCCTACTGCTGCAGTCCCCTGCCTGTCAGTGTGTGTGTGTGTGTGTGTGTGTGTGTGTGTGTGTGTGTGTGTGTGTGTGCGTGCGTGTGTGTGTGTGTGTCTATGCCAAAGCCTTGTCAGCTAGAGGGACAGAATAGAGGAGAAGCGAGGTCAGATGAAATCAGAGGTGATGATAATAGCACATTAATATAACATGATCCAGAAATATTCTCTGCGGTTGTAAATTCCCATTAAGAGCGCCTTGCTGTATTTGCACTAAAGTGGGATATATAGTTTAAGATAAGCAATAGCAATTAAGCCCCTGAAGCGGAGTGTACAATAAGTGGGTGTTGTGCAGGGTGAGCTGTTATCTCCACATGGCTCTCTCCTGAAGTCCAACAGCAGACAGAGGCAGGCCAAGAAATAATGTGTCACTCAGTGAGTTTTAAAAACACATGTGACTGTTTAGTCGGTGGCAGTTTGCAGGCAGACAAATAGAGCGGAGGCCCCAATAGAGGGTTTGTCATAATGGGTGAGCAGCTCGGCACAAAGCCTGTTTAAAGAGCAAGCAGAGCTCAACTGGTGGGGGTAAACACTGCTTGTCAAGCTGAGCAACAAAGAAAAATAGAGTTTCCTCCACATATGGACTTAATAATTAACTCAATAGATTAATAAATTCCCCTCTGGTTTTGTTTATCAACTATTCAGCATACTCAGGCGCTGAGAGTTTAAGTTTATTCAATGAATCATTTTTTTTTCTATTTCCAGCCTGGGTTTTAAAAGCTGGCTGAGTTTAAAAGGAATTGACCTCTGACTCGGTGACAGAAGAAAAACAAGCACAGTAGGTCATGGGTTGGTTCCTCTTGTCACTGCATAGCGCAGCAAAAAACTCAGAGAGGAGAGGCTGGGAGCGAACAAATACCTGAGAAATAACCAGGAAATTACATCATACCTCTGCACAGAGAACACAAGTGAATCAGTAATCCAATTCGAGTGAGCTAGCTCAATATTAGGCTGTTGTGATGTTCTTGAAAGAGTTGTGCCTTGTGGTATTTGGAGGATATTGGCTTGGAGCTTAAAATAATACTGATCTGCAAGATATGAGGCTGGATTTCATACAGATATGGAGCAAGACAGCAGCATCTGTTTACATGTCAAATAAATAAAACATTAAAAAAATCACTGTCTGTTTGTATGTTGTGTGAAAATATTGATGTGTAAATCCAACATGATCTAAGAATAAGAGTCTTGAGCCTCAATGACACCAAGCTGTGCCTCACCTCTCAGTGCTGCCTGTGCTCATTTAGCACACAAATCTCGTGAAAACAACACACTTCCTGAGAGCTAGATGCTATCATTTTCATATCTGTATGACTCACTCTGCTAATTTTCAGGCAGTCAATTGCGGATTTACAATTCTGAGCAACTCTGCAGCCATTAAACTGTCTCTGTGTACTCCCAAAGAAACATGACTAATGATAGGTTTATAAACTCCACTTCCCAGTGAAGCTATAAATGAACTCTAGTTCCCTCTTGTTTACATTTTAAAACAAACAATCTTTTAACACATGCTTTACTAAGGTGAAGATTTAACAGCCAATGAGGTTTTATGTTTTTTTATATCACAGTTTTTTTTTTTTTGTTGAGGCGGGTTTACCCTCCTGTTTGTTATTTGGATTATAGCTTGCATCTGTAAGCGCTCCTAGCTGACTCATGCAGGACAGATTAGTGTTATGGGGCAAAGGCAGTGAGAATCTGAACGTCTCAGTGAAGGTCATAAAACTGACTTGAAGTTGTCAGGGCAATTTTCACTGTGTAATATACTGTAACTACTCTGATTCGCTGAGAGCAGGAGGGTTTGACAGGGCCCTTTAATTGAGGTCAGCCTGCAGGCACTTACATTGCACTTAAAGATATCATCCTCAAATTATCTTATTGGATAGTTTGACATATTCTGCAATCAGTCTGCAGCTTCAAAGCATCTGCGGGGTCGTGTGATGCAAGTTGCTGCATAATTCATGCTTTTATTCCTCTTGTGATTTCACTCTTATCAAACACACAAACTGTATCATGCTGTGCTGCACTATAGGTCCCAAATTCTTTGTCATTTCATTTGCATTGCTAGTGCAGCTTTTTTTTTTTTTCCAGATATACCCAATGGACTGGAATGTAAGCACTTAGCAATGCAAATAAGTCTTTGGGAAAAGGGGGCGGAGCTCATGTGTCGTTGCGCAAGTGTGTGGCCTCAGAATCGGCGATGCATGCTCTCAAAGTAATTACTAAATAATTGCAGCGTGTTAAAGGCTAAAGCGAGAGGGCTGCAGGAGATGATACCCGTTTATAGAAGAATTCAGCCACTAAGATGATAGCTTGTCTAAGCAGCGGAGCCATAAATAGCCACCTTTCTCATGAAAGAGAAATGTGATAGCCACTCTATTACTCAAGAGGAAAGAATGTAAGTAAACCATCAGCGGAAGAGTCGACTACAAACACGGCTTTGTCCTTCCATATAAACAATATAACAGCAGCAGAGAATCACTTCCATCCAGCCGCGAGTGATCAAAAGCAAAGAGGAGTAATTAAAGTGCTGTTGTCGCCGTGCGGAGGAATATCAGAGAGAAAAACAACACGGCGGTTTGTTTAACTCTCGATATCGGAGTAATGCCATTCACAGCAGCGATGTAACCGGATCACAAGCGCCTCATACGGCCACAGTCAATCATAACTATTGCTTTCCTGTGCCAACAGGGGCGTCATGCAACACAGAGGCGTTTTAAGTGCTGCGAGCTGACAATATCACATTGTTGCGGATGGAAATGTCCACATGGAAAATTATGCAAAGCTTGGAGAGTAGTTAAAACGTGTCAGCGCTGGCTTTGCTCTGCCGCCACGCTTTATGACTCGCTCTGCCTCTTTCAACATCAGGCAGGCATTACTAAATATCTAATAACTATCAGAGCGACTGATCTGAGCCAGGTTGACCCCATGCATTCATTGTCGTTTCGCAATTTCCGCCCATATGCCCGTATTTGACACGCTTTACCAAGAAATGAAATGGCAGAGTCTAGGCACAGGATTGTTGCGGATTTTCCCCCTTTTATAAAACAATTAACCCCATAGAGCGCAGCAGCAACCTTATTGAGCGCAGCTGGACAAGTGCACATTCAGCAGTTGACACCACAATAGGCAAATAGGCTAAAGTAAAACTAGAGAACAAACAGTGCCGTAGGTCAATCCTTTTACTGCTCGGATACATCAATGTCAGTATCAATACGCGCGTTTATGAAAACCTGCCTCGGGAGAATAAACATCCACTGCCAACTCTTAATGCAGTAAGGATGCTGGTTAATTAAAAAAAAAAAAAAAAAAAAAAAAAAGGCTCTCGAACAAGGAAGAATAAGCAACATAACAAACACACACAAAAAAAACACATCATCTATAAATATTCACAAGCCGATTAGTCCTCCTACCTCTCCATGGCTGATCGTCCGTCCCTGGGGACTATCCTCGGGTAGAAAATAAAGTTTAGAGCTTGATAAAAGTTGCTTGCTTGTTCTTTCTTCCCAGAGCAGCTGAAGCTCCGCTATGCAAATAGGTTCCTCCGGTTTACATCTGACGAAGAAAAAGTCTCCGAGAGACAAAATCCTCGCTTTGCCGTCCCGGTGAAACTTAAAGGCTTTATAGAATATATATGGTCCATGTAAACCGCAAGACGAGCCCACCCACTGAAGAGGAAAAAAAAACACAGAGGGAGACATTAATGAATGGCTTAACAACTCATTTAGTAAACAAATCGTGGCAAGGTGGACACAAACATTTTAAAGATCACTGCGTGGTGACACACGCCTGGTAAATATCACGTTAGGATATTTTCTGTACATAATTAGTATCGTGTAACTATTTTTAGACGTTCAACATATGACACAGATGTGGTTCTATTAAATTTAATGTTGCAAAGTTTTGTGGATTAGGCACGTGCGTACACTGTAGAGCAGGTGGATTATCGTAAAGCGAAAATAAAATAAATCGACGGTTGATAACAAACGTTACCTTCAGTGAGTTCGGCTCCATCTCGACGTTATGAATTGATTAAACTCAACACGCTCTCCAAACTTGCTGGCTTGAATGGATTTCCGAAGGTCCTGTAAGGAACATATTTCGGTAGAGTTTCAAACACCGTGCATTTGTCGATAAATTGTGTTTGAAAAAAATGTTTTTTTTAGGTAAATACAAATTAACAAATATTGCGTTAGGTTGCGAGAGTATTTTCTTTAGTAAACCTACATTTGGGATTTTTTAAATCATTTATATGACTCCAATACATGCATGTAGGCAAAATATTAGAATAAAATCATAAAAATATGAAGGATTTTAAATAAATAGTGGACTGTAGTTGTGCATAAGAAGATATTACGTCGTGTAGTATAAATAATCCGCCAACAAAAGCGTATTTTGTGCCACATTTCTGCATTTATGGGCTTTTTAAGATTATTTACCTTCCAGGACTTGTGTAAAAGACGTTCAGTATGAAAGCACATTTCTCACAGTAATGACACTGAGGCGCTTGCTGTGGATGCCTTCAAGAAACAATGTTACATGAAAGTTAATAGGGCTATCAAATGATTCCTCAAAAGGCAATGTGGGACCCGCGAGGTGCCGGCTTTGCTCAGAGCGGAACTTGTAACGCGTTATAGCTCGGGCACGCGGGTTGGCTTTAATAGCGAAAATAATGGCATTTATATATTATTGTACTATATTATTTGAGGCGGACATGAAAAGACAAAATTGGCCGAGTAGGAATGCGGGGCGTCTCGAGACAGAATTCACGAGGCGGTCCATTATCCACATATTAATAATCTTAAAACACCGCGCTGACCTTGTGAAGACATCGGGGTATATTTGTCATGACTTATCAAATTTGCACGATCAAAGCCACTTATATAATTATGTTGATTAATATTTATTATTATAAACATCGATGAAATCTAATCAGTTGTACGACACATATAAAACAAAGAATAATTAATTATTATCTTTGATCTTTTCACGAAGTTACTAAAACTTCATGGTTTCTATTTGTAGACTCATTGTCATTTCAGTCTCCGCTGCTGAATGTGTCAGCTGGATTTTATCGTCTGTCTGGAATTATTCATGTGTTGAGAAGTACCAGCCTGGGCCACAGCGCTGCGCTGTTTCTCTGCAGTCATCCACCCTTTGCCCTGCATTTATCCTCCACTCAGATCACAGAGCATGCAACAGCGACATAGGCCTACTTCTGACACCAGCTATTTCAAGTACACTATTACGCAATGCGCTTTTTCCTCCTGAAATGACTGCTCGAGCAAACAGAGGCATTGATTCACTTCCAGGAAAGCGTTTTCCTGACTAATGAATGGGCATGTTTTCTTATAATGCTGCTGCTGCTGCCGTCTAGTAGTTAACTAATATGTAAATACAGGGGCTCATTGTGAAGAATGAATGTCAAATGCCACCTGATTATATCAATGGGGCTCACAAATGTATAATTAAATAGATATACTTTCTATACTGGGAAAATATCACTAATCAAGTTCTTTTTAAAGCCATCTCCACTGCCCTCTTTTCAAAGAAGCAGCAGAACATGCTGTAATACTAAAATAGCTGAGCCAATACTCTGTGGCTCTGATATTTTAAGTACCAGTTTAGAGCATCGTTCCAGAGTAAAAGGTGGATTACACAGAGCCTCATTGTCTCACATGCAGCTGCAGCAGTGCTGGGATCCTGCAGTGAATCTAATATAAACCACAGCTCTTAGTGTTATCTTCCCTGATTTCTCTCCTAGCCATTTCAGTGGCTGAATCAATGGGGTTGCATTGTTAATGGCAGCCACTATAATGAAGTCCCTGGTTAATCAATGGCACCACTCGAGCTCTTATCTGGCAAATGCAAGTGTTTGCTTGTCAACAGCCGCAGAGCCCAGCAGCCACTGCAACGTTGTGATGCACATATTGATGTGTTGGTATGGATGAAGATGTGCTGAGAAATCTTTATACTTTTTTAGAAGTATGTGTTAAAAGAGTGAGAAGTAATATGTGAAAAATATGATGACAAAATATTAGGGAAATTGTACAACAGCACATGCTGAATTATACATAGTTTGAGTAGAAAATCTAATCACACCTGCTCCATTTTACCTGAACTTCCCTTTGTGGTTAGATAAGGTATAAAAGGGAAATCAATAAGTTATATTCCTACGTCGTTTCAGCTGAGTGAACTTGAAACATGACTAGAATGAATGTACAAGCTTGGAAAACTATCAAGGGTTCCAAACATTTACTGAAGTAGTTGAGAGAGAATAATTGAAATAACACACTGTCAGCCAAGTTGAAAATGACATTGTGTCACAGATGGAAATCAGCAGCTTAAAATGTACTTGAATAAGTACATCTCATAAGCCATTTTTTAAAAATAAGACTTAAACTATTAAGACAACCACTACTTGCAAGTTTGTTGAGCTGAACATTTTGCAGATTGTTACCATAGGAATATATTATTTGTTTTGTTTTCTAATGTCTGGAAACTGTTCACAACTAACACGCCTATGAGTGAGCATTCTGTAGAAACCAGAAATACCTGCTGAAATAAAGGCACTACAGGGTTTATTATTGGAAATATGGAGAACGTGGTCCTTTGTTGCCTTCAGCAGCAACAACATACAATGAGTGGATAAGTGTTAAAACCGTTCCTTTTCTCAGCACAGGTGTTCCACATTCCACATAATGAGGCGGCCTCAGCAGGGAGCCACAAATGTGTTTTGAAAGTCACTTTAGTACAGAGCTGCAGTTACAGTTTCAAACACAACAAAAAGCACTTAAAACATGATTAAAATGTCATGTCACTACATAATTCTACACACATGTCCACATGTTTTCATGAGGAAAATAAGTTTGAGTAAGAATGGATTAACAATAATATTGCCTGTTACGCCACCATAGAGCTACATGAAAGAAATCAACCCCAAAGACGGCTGCAGAGACCATTAAAATCGACTTTTTGATAGACTTAACCAAAAAGAAAGAATATTGTTTTTTAAAGTATTGAATTTCCTATTAAGTTAAATTAGCTTTTTGTGATGAATGCACAAAAATCTGCACTTTTCTCTCCAGTTCCATACTTCCATGTGGTGCTTAAGCTAGCAGCCTCTTCATGCCAACTGTAGCTAGCTCGTCAACGCAATGGAGTATCTATTGGCAAAAGAGTCATGAAAACACCTTCAGAAGTTGATAAAGAGCAGAACTGAGCTGGAAACAGAGTGAAGATAAGGCTTAAATAGATGAGATACCAAAAATATGAGTCAAATGCACATTTATAAATATACAAATATGAAGGGAAGTGTAAATAGGCAACTTTTCCTTGCAAGTTCTTAGTGTTGTGTTTACAGCTTGTTTCTACAGACCCATTAGCCACTGACTTAGTAATTATATGTATTATTAAGGTAATATGTTATCCTATTTAAGAAAAGTATCACCATGTGCTTAGCTAATTCTCACTCTTTCACAGCCAGTATGCCACACTAGTAGAGATTTGCAAATTAATCTGGAACCTGAATCCAAAACAAAACTTGTGATGTAGCTGTATTGGCTGAAAGGCTATAGGTTAAAATCTAATATCCAGTGTGGTTTTTTTTTTTTAAAAGTGTTAGCACTCGTATATGTAAAGTAAACCAACATCCAGGGTGTTTAATACTTCAGAGATATAGGATTCACAACAGCGGCTGCCATGTTGGTTGTTTTCAACAATGCCTCAATGGAGCTTCTTTATCATTTAATGCATGTAACCCTTAATATATTAAATAAAGGGTATTGATTGGACTAACATAATGGACAAGCTGGTTGTAAATCTGTTTGAGGAGGAGGGGAAACAAACGCATGTGTCAGAGCAAATAAAACTTGAACTCAAACAGGTCTGGTTTCCAGGCAGGAAGATCAATAAATAGATTCTACAAGTTACACCTTAATGTCCAACAGCTTCATGATATTAAAGATAAGTTATCTAATAGTATTATGTTTATCATTTTAACATACAGTATATGCAATGGAATCATTTTCAATGAATCAGAATTTTAAATGTTCATCATTATTTTTATAGATATTTGGATTAGACAGTGAAGCGTGTTTATTTATTTGTTTGTTTTCTTTTCTTTTCTTTTTCTTTTTGAGAAAATACACTGCTTTGGAAACTAAAAAGCTAATGCGTAACAAATGTCAAAGTTATAGGTATCCGTATGCAGAGTAACCGAAACTCATTTACAGCTTTAATAGGCATTCAATGTTTGTCTTAATATGTGAGTGTTGCATTAACATGTGAGTGGCATTTTCATCTATAGCAGGTTGAAGGTGAGCTCATTTTAAACACTTTATTTACAAAATGACAGCTAGATAAATCATGACTTTTACTTATTAATAGAGTTCAATGATATAAGGATACATATTTCTAATCACACTCACAGGCACAACAATCAACAAATGACTCAAGCAAGAAGGCTTCTGAGAAATTAAGGCAACACACTCTATCTCCAACTCATTCTGCATGCACAAGTGCATTACCCAGTGGATATCCAATCTATCATCAATGGAAAGCCCTTGGACATTAAAAATCCATCCAGTAAATTTGTCCAGAGGAACATGTTTCAATAGTAACGTTACACCTGCGTCCTTGTGCTCCGACACAACAAAGGCTCCCATCTGTAGACAACGTGACTTGGGGAAAGGTAACTGGAGATCTGACTGATGCTGCCAGGCTAATTTTAGCCTCTTAGACTCATTATAATGTGGTGTTACATTTCTCTCCATTCAATCACATGTGAGTCATCTATATTGTACAGCACGTGAACAAGAAATCCAATTAGTTTATTGAAAGGATCACTTTTAATCAAGCTGGATATGGAGTCTATATGAAATGATTTCTGTGTATATTTGCAGTTGTCAGCCAGCGATACTGTAGGCTGAATATTAACTGACTGAGCTCATAAATATCTGGGATGCAGACATATCTACAGAACATCAAAGGCTTTACTGTGTGCAGTGAACTGTGAGGATTATTATCCACAGAATAGAAACATACATTTCTCCCTTTCA